GCTACATCCATCTCATCTCGACTGATCGTCAGCTGAGAGCTACAGCTCGCATTGCATCAAGTCGCTCCTTGTTGCCGCTATGCGCGTTACGGGGGGGGCAGCTTGCTTGTTGCTGGCCATGCAGTGCACCACATCACAATCGCTTGGCTTACCCACTCCTACACGAGCTGGCTATCGCGCTCGATGAGTGCTTGCGTCCATCGACAGCCTTGCTCTTTCCCCCACACCACGACAAAACTCGCTGTTGAGCTGCCGCGGGGTTTTGCGCGAACGGAAAAGCTTTGCGCCTCTCTGCCGCGCGCGCGACCTTCCGACAGCAGCCCGCCGGACATGACATGGGGATGCGAAGCGAAGGAAAAGGCGACCCCGCACCCACCGGCAACACACCTGTAGGTGTGCATACAGCAGTAGGGGCAGCGCGCGCTGCTGGGGATATGCTCTAGCGCTCCTTCTTGATTCACCTCAACAATCAGAATGGCCTTCTAGCGTCGTTTGCAAGGTTTCATTTGGCCTGAGACCATCATCACTCAGACCTCCCCTCCCTCGCGCCTTCATGCCCCTTTCCAAACGCACCGTTGTCGAGACTGGGAGCCGGACGTCGTGAAGCAGCAGCAGTCTGGAGTGCCTGGTCATGCGCATTCACGAGCAATTCTAAGCGATGATCCTCGCGACTGCACGACTGCGACTGTGTCGGGAGCATCTAAAGCCCACGCACAGCACATTGTTTGCCTTCACGAAATCATTTCATTCGGCAGAGATACTGCTGTAGGTGCTGCTTGGCATGACTGCATTGCTGCGGAAGCAATGTTTTGCAGGTCTAGCGTCTCCTCGCATTGGTGCTGTGCCTGATTGCAAAACGTCCCAGCAGCAAGGCAAGACCAGCGGATGTGCAGAGCTACGCCTGCCTCGAATGAGGCCCATCCATGGCTTCAGTGAGCACCGGCCACACGGAAGCGAGGCTCGTCTGTGGAGGATGGGAGGATCAACTTGGCTGAGCGCAGCGCGGGCTAGAGGTGCTGTCAGCAAGGTGTTCTCTGGTGCGCACTCGAGCCTCCTTGCTTCGCGTGTGAGAAGCAGCAGAGGCTTCAAGGTGTTGGGAACGCAATGAGCAGCAAAGATGGTGACATTTCGGCGTCGGACTCGAAGGACGTAAGATGCGACTAGGGAAAGCGTTTCGGCCAAATCGCAATGCTAGCGTCTGTGCCACTCATGCTTCG